GACCTTCTAATCAACACATAATCAATCAATCAATCACATCTTGGTGCAGTAGAATTAGTGGAAACAAAAGAGATGTCAACACATAATCCGTATCGTTTTTCCCCCTCCCAAGTACGAATAACAACAACCATAATAATATATAATAATAATAATACGGGAAATTTACATAAATCCAACTGGTTTAATTAGATATACTTTATTTTGTAATGTTATAGTAATTTTTACCATATTTTAGTGTGTCTAGATACATCAAGATACATGTATTTCGGGATACATGAGTCCAAAATTAAGTGTAATTTATTCTAGATACTGTGTATTCAAATAGATTCGCATGTATTTAGGATACATAACAAATTTTGCTCGCTGGATACATGAATCACACCAGATAAATACATATACATATATCTAGTATGTATCTAGTGTGATTCGCTTGTATCTGGGATACATAACTATCTCCCTCTCCATCTCACTCGCCTTCTTCCCCGGTTCTCTTGCCTCTTTCCCTGTTTTAGTGCATCTGGTAAAAATACAAACAAAATAATTGGAATCGTTCCGAAGAGAATATGTATCTTTCTCAATATACGGTAGAAAAATCTTAATTAAAAGTTTTATCTTAATAATAATTTATTTTTATTCAATATACTAAAAATAAAGGGAAAATTACGCGGAAAAGCAAACATATACTAGTTAATTAGCTAATATAACTATATTTTGAATTAATTACGGCTCATAGCTTAATTTTAGTTTTAATTACGTCACTTGTCCTCTTTTATACATATACCAATACATATTATACACACACACATATATATATATACAATTATATTTATATACAAATACAATTAGCCTCTCTCCACTCTCTGACCTTTCTCGCTTGCCTCTCTTCTCTCTCTCCCAATCTCTCTCGCCAGATATACAAATACATATATATATATATATCAGTTTCCGAAAGGTGAACAGAAAGAGATTACTTGCAAAATTCATTCAGATTGTGAGTATACTCGTACAATATCTACTCTATCTTCTGTCCCAAATATAATGATCAAAATGTAAAAATGAATATGAATTGTACCTAGGTTGAGGGTGTTATTAATAGTTTAACACTCATCGGATCGTTATAGGTGAAGAACGTTCCAACTTCATGTATACATTAGTACAGTGGTGTAGTCAGAAATTTCACAAAGGGTGTCCAGAAATAGCAGCTTGTTATGTTAAGGATGTTCAAAATATGTTATTTAATAATTTCGCATATCATTTTACTTGTATATATGATATTGAGAGGAATCAATAGTGAGTCAATCATGATCCATGGTAATTCTATCTTTAAATAGGACCAATCTGTTTTAATAAACAAAAAAGTATTCAAAATCGATCAATACCTTAAGGGGTCGTTTGGTTTGAATACAAGTTATGCTGGGATAAGTTATGCTGGGATAAGTTATGCTGAGATTAGTTATGCTGGGATTAGTTATCCTGGCATTATTTCTTATTGATTGTTTGGTTTGTTGTACTAAAAATAATAGCCATTGCATACATCCTAAAAATAAGTGGTTTGATTACAAAAATACCCTCTTATTTAGCTTTTTGTATATTTTTTTGGTAGAGTTTTAGTTAAAACCAAATTTAACTATTCAATCCATCCAACGTAGAAAATCCACCAGTTACCCATTTTAAAACTCAATCCAACCTATCCACATAATATTTCTGCACACATTAGGAAAGGCAATGGATCATATTAAGAGACAATTTCATTAGTTTGACTTAATAGGCATTTGTGTTAACTCATAACCAAATGAGATTATATGAAAGTTACATTCTTAAAATAAATTTGATGCGTCAAAGTAATTGTAGTAAGAAGGTGACTCCCTTATAATTGTTAACTTGCTTTTAAGGACAAGTACGAACAACACGCCATATTTTAGAGCTTGTTTAGGAAGCATTAAATCAAGTGCACCATAAAGTCTTATCTCAACTTTGGAAAATAAAAGAAACAAAAAACAGAGTTTCCATAGCCAAAATTGTTAAACCAGGAAGCATTGGAAGAACGCAAACACTACAACTATGTCTAGGAGGCAGACGATTATAGCAATATATAATAAAAATAATTGAAACCAAAGAGAAACCAAAGAGTACAAAATCATATAAGCAAAATATGCCTTATGATTATCCAAAAGCTCGTCGAATCGGACCTAAAATAGAATAACATAAATAGATGATAACTCTTAACGGGTTAACGATTAAATCATTAAGAGGTCTTGTAATAGACAAAGAGAAAGGTAAGCTGGTTAAAGCATACAGCTTTGGATATATCAAGTGGGCAATGCATCGAACAAGAATGCTTTCAACTAGAGAAGTGAGGTATGGCTTGGGCTTTTGTGTCTGCTTGTCAGCTCAAAATATTGATCCATATAACCGTACTTCTAGCAAAGATCGTCCACAAAACGTTGCTTTGCAAATTGGGAAATAGAAGCTTAAAATCTATTTGCTTCATGTAAATCTTTGGTTGATGGATACAGACTGCACTACACAGCCAAAAGATTTATTAAAACTGAAATAGAAGTCTTGCATCAAAGCAACATAAAAAACTAGCTCATCTGGCAAAGAAACAATAGGCCTAGACTAATAGAAACTTGTATCTTCATACTAACCGAGAAACTTGACCAAAATTGCAGCAATCCCTACAGCAAACCAATCAAAACTACAACTAAAACAACAACTAAAGCGAAAGTAAAATTCCAGAAAATATTCACCAAAACACCTGTCAAAACTGAAACAAAAGCTCTGCATCAAAGCAACAGAAAAAACAAGACCAAAAACTGGTCTACCATAATAGAAAAAATTAGACGAAAACTGTAGGGAAGCAACATAAGCAACTGCACAAAAATTGATAACTAGCAACAAACTTACAATAAATTTAACTTTTACATGAGAGTTAATCTATTTAATAGATTTTACATATACAAAAGATTCTAGCATCCTCATGACCTACATTAGTCATACACAAAAGAGTGAACATAACTAGAGGATCAAAAAATGGCACT